CTCATCCTGTTATGTCCCATCCTGTCCCATCCCACCATATCTCATCCCATCCCATCCTGTCCCATCCCGTCCTGTCCCATCCCATTAAGTCCCACCATGTCCCATTCCACCATGTCCCACCTCATCATATCCTATCCCACTATGTCCCATCCTGTCCCATCCCACCATGTCCCATCCCATTATGTCCCATCCTGTCCCATCCTACCATGCTCCACCTCATCTCATCCTGTCCCACCCTACCATGTCCCACCTCATCCCATCATATCCCATTCCACCATGTCCCATCCTATCTCACCATGTCCCACCTCATCCCACCATATCCCATCCTGTCTCATCATGTCCTTTCCCATTCTGTCTCATCCTATCACATCTCATCTCACCCCACTGCGTTCTATTCTTTACCATCCCAATTCCCCCTCCCCTCCCATCCCGTCCCCCCATCCCCTACCTATCACCTCCCCGACCATGAAGATGCAGCAGACGCTGCAGGCGATGCTCAGCTGCCTCTGTGCTTGGAGCCTCTCTGCGATGGGGCCGGGGGCGGCCGGGCTGCAAGGGCACAGCGGGACCCCCCCCGACTCCTGCGTGTCCTTCCTGGGGGGCAGCAGGGCTGGGGCATCCTGGGGGCCTGGAAACAGACTGAGGCGGGGGATGGTACCGCTGTGGGGGTGGAGAGTGGTACCGGCGTGGGGTAATGGATGGATGGTAGCAGTGCAGAGGGTGGCAGTGGGATGCTGGTGTCAGATGGATACCCTCGGGTGGAGGGACACGAGGGTGGCACAGAGATGGGGTGATGGTGGAATGGAAATGGCACGAGGGTGGTGTGAGGACTGCAGGTCCTGGGGGTGGGAGGGAGCAGGGTGTGATGGGGATATTGGGGTGGTGGCTGGTGGGGCTGGGGGTGCAGGTGTTGGTACGGAGGTGCCGGTGATGGAGTGCTGGGCTGGGGGTGAAAGTGATGGGGTGCCGATGCCAGTCATGCAGTGCCAAAGATGGGGTGCCGATGCTGGGGGTGCCGAAGCCGGTATGAGGATGCTGGTGTTGTGATGCCGGTGATGTAGTGCCGGTGCCGATGATGGGATGCCGATGCCAATGATGCAATGCTGGTGCTGGGGGGTTCCGATGCCGATTTGGGGATGCTCGTGATATGACGCCAGTGCCGGTGATGGGGTGCCGATGCCAATGACGGGGTGCCGGTGATGTGTCGGTGCCGGTGATGTGGTGCCGGTGCTGGGGTTGTCCATGCCAGTATGGGGATGCTGATGATGTGGTGCCGGCCCGGCGGTACCTGTGTCCCCGGACTCCCAGCAGCCGCGCACTCTCGGTGCCGGTCGCGGACGGCCGCTCCATGCCGGGCAGCACCGCGCGGCGCCGGGACCTCGAGGCCCCGCCCCTTCCTATGGCCCCGCCCTATCCCCGCCTCGTGGGCGTGGCCTGAGTCCGCCAACCTTGTCATAGACTACGCCCCTCGCGTGACCACGCCCACTCAGCCCGACGTATGGGGCGTGACCTACGAACGCAGCGGTGGGCGTGGCCTCGGGCATGGGCGTGGTTTCGCAGATCGCCCCGCCCCTTCCCGCCAGGCCCCGCGGCCGCCGCGCGGTGATGGCGGCGTTGGGCACGGGGGAGCGGTGCGGGCAGTGGGGCGCGGCGGGGCCCGAGCGTGGTCCCGGCCCCGGTCCCGGCCCCGGTCCCGGTTCCCTGGGCTCGCTGCTTAGCCGCCTGCCGCTGGCCCCGCCGCGCCGCCGCACAGCCAGCCAAGGCCAGGGCCCGCCCGAGCCGCCGCTGCTGCGCACCAGCAAGCGGACCATCTACACGGCCGGGCGGCCGCCCTGGTACAGCGAGACCGGGGCGCCCGTGGGAGAGGCCTTCGTCATCGGTGCGGGGCGGGCGGGCGGGGCGGGGGTCTGGGGCCTGGATCGGGGGTGGGGGTGGGTCTTGGGGTTGGATGAGAGATGGGGATGAGATGCGAGGTCTGGGATCTGAAGCGGGGCTGCGGCTTGGCTTGGGCCTGGGATCTAGAGCCGGCCTGGGCTTGGTTCTGCATCTGGGATTTGAGGTTCAGATGAGGTTCTGGGGCTGGGCCAGGATTGGTATGTGGGATCAGGGCCTGTTTCAGTCTCGATCTGGGCCTGGCTCTGGGCTGCATCCTGGGGCCGGGTGTGGGCTTGGGGGCCTCAGCCTGAGCCATGCTGATGAGGCCTGCTCACCTCAGGGCTGTGTGGCGGCAGCGCCTCGGGTAAGACGACGGTGGCCACGCGGATCATCGAGGCATTGGACGTGCCCTGGGTTGTGTTGTTGTCCATGGATTCCTTCTACAAGGTGAGAGCAGTGCGTTCTGGCATGGCACAGCACGGCGTGGTGCTAAGCGGTGCCGTTCCCAGGTGCTGGACGAGGGGCAGCAGGCGCTGGCGGCCCGCAGTGATTACAACTTCGACCACCCGGATGCCTTCGACTTTGAGCTGCTTGTCAGCGTCCTACGCAAGCTGAAGAAGGGCAAGAGTGTGAAGGTGCCTGTGTACGACTTCACCACTCACAGCCGGCGCCGAGAGTGGGTGGGTGCCCTGAGAATGCAGGGCTGGAAGTGGGCACAGGGGCAGGGCTTGTGGTTTTGTGGTGAGGGCTGAGATATGGAGTGAGATAAAGGCTCGTGATGGCTGCGTGCCATGGGCTGGGTGCTTCCTTAGCGTTTGGGCTAAGACACAGTGGGGGGGAGGGTGCAGCAGTGGAGGGGCAGGGTGAATGCAGCACCTTTCTTCCCACAGAAAACCGTCTATGGGGCCAACGTCATCGTGTTTGAGGGCATCCTGGCATTTGCAAACAAGGAGCTGCTGAAGGTATTGCTGCGTGGGGTATTCTGAGGGAGGGGTCCTGCTGGCACAGCACAGCTGCCTTAGGGAGATCAGGGGGGCTGCAGAGGGGGTGCTCACCCCTCCCAGTGTTCCAGCTCCTGGACATGAAGGTGTTTGTGGACACGGACTCGGACATCCGGCTGGTGCGGCGGCTGCAGCGCGACATCATGGAGCGTGGGCGTGACATCGTGGGTGTCATCAAGCAGTACCACAAGTTTGTGAAGCCAGCCTTCGAGCAGTACATCGAGCCCAGCGTGCAGGTGGCAGACATCGTGGTGCCCCGGGGTGAGACGCGCCGCTTGCACCCGGCCCCACTGCTGCGGTGGGTGCACATCCTCACCCTGAATCTCTGCTCTGTGGGCAGGTGGGGAGAACTCTGTGGCGCTGGACCTTATTGTGCAGCACGTGCACAGCCAGCTGGAGAAGGTGAGGGGCTGGCGGAGGGCAGGTGAGGAGGGGGGTGCTCACTGCTCTGCACCCTGTGGGTCTCAGCACTGCCCTTTTATGTGACTCGAGGCAGGCAAGGGCTGGGAAGCAGGGATGGAGCAGCACCCTGCTCGTGCTGTGGCCTCATTCTCTTGTTACACCCCTCGGTCCCAAGCAGCTCTTGCCATCCTGTTTGTTCCTGATGTCGCCAGTGCGCCAGTCCTGCTCACAGCAGGGTTTTCCCCTTCCCTGTTCAGCACCACGAGAAGGGGTGGGAGCTGGGCCAGGGCTGCTGGCACAGTGACCAAATGTCCCTTCTTTTTTCTTTCCTCTTTTGCCACGCTGAATGTCTGCTCTCCCACCCAGCGCGAAATCACTGTCAGGTACGTTGGGGACCTGCTGGCTGGGCTACAGCCAGCTCTGGGTGGGGATGGCTGCCAGCCCCGTTGTTCTTTTGTTCTGCCTCTTCCCCATCCCTGCTGGCTGAAGCTCTTCTGAGTTGTCTGAGTGCATGTGCTGTTCCTCAGCCTCAGGGGTGGATGCTGTGCATGCAGCTCATTTGGGGTGCATGCAGCTGTGCTGCATTTGTGGGACTGCATACACGTGCTGCTGTTGTCCCTCTCTGGAGCAGAATTCCTGCCCTGAAGGTTGGAGGTTGATCTCATAGAAAGGAACTGGAGGTTCCCCTGGTTTTTGGTAGATCACGTGGGCACCTGCAGCAGGGCAGTCCTCACGCTGTGATGCAATGTCCCAGGTCACAACCCAGCACACCTTGCCCGTGCAGAGCTGCTTCCCCACTGCCCAGGTGCTGGCAGAAGTTGGCATGTATGTGTGCACTGCGTGGCTCTGACTGGTGCTCTCTGCTGCAGGGCAGCTCTGGCCTCAGCCCACCAGGGGCAGCCACTGCCGGCGACACTGAGCGTGCTGGAGAACACACCACAGGTGCGGGGCATGCACACCATCATCAGGTGAGTCCCTTCCACAAGAACTGTTCTGTAGGTGACCATACAAAAGGCGGTGACGCTTTGCCCATCCCACCCCTTAATGCTTCCAGCAGGAACCAGGTGCTGCTCAGTAGCTTTGTCCTCACTCTGGTTTTTGTTCCTTGCCGATGCTCTGCTTTCTGTAGGTGGCAATAGCACGTTCATAAAGTTGAGACCTTGTCCTGTGAACCTGTGACATGTTGCTTTGCCCTCCTGTTCCCAGGACACAAGTGTCTGATAGACTTAATCTGCTCAGAGCTGGGCGCTGGCTCAGCTGCTCAGGAGGAGGGGATCAGCCCCGCTAATCTCCCTTCACCGGCAGCGCTGTGCATTGCAGCCTGGGCTGTGGGGAGGCGGACTTTGCCTCTTCCAGATGGTAAATAGAAAAACACCACATTTATGAGGGGCGTTGGCTTGGCCCGTCAGCCACCCCCTCACATCCTACCAAAGCCCATGGGAAGGAAGCAAAACTGAAGCAACACGGTTTTTAGGAACCTGGGCTGAGAAACTCTTCTGGTGAAAGGGTGCTGTGTTTGGGGGCGGCTCAGTGGCTTTGGCTCTGGTGCTCATAGGTGATCAGCCTTTCTGATCTGCCTTCCTGCTCACTGGGTGCTGGCAGCCCTGTTGCACGGTGCTGGGGCTCCCCATGCCGCAGCCGTCTGTGAGCATTGTGAGCTGGCAGCAGTTGAGCAGCTCGCTGCGTCATGGCAAATCCAGGCTTGGCATCTTGGGGAGAAGGAGATTCCAGGGCAATCCTCAGCTTTTGTGCAGAGGTGGGGAGCAGAAAGTAGCCCTTTGTGGACACAGAATGGTGTTTCCTTTCCATTGTTTGCGCACTGGTCCCTGTGTACACATGGAAGGGCTCCAGGACATACGTTGGCAGTCAAGGCTTCAGGGCTTGGGTCAGCTCTGCCCTGAGCTCCTGGACTTTGTGCCTTGGCAGGATGCACTGCCCAGTTCATGCTAAGGCTTGTTGGGCTTTCCTGGTCCTTGCAGAGCTCCTGGCTGCAAGGTACCCAGATCTGAGCACAGAAATACCCGAGATAGAAGCAATTGCTTTGCCCTTCTCCAGTGCTGCTGTTGGTGGGCTGTCTGTCATCTGCGCCGTGCGATGGTGAGAAGTGGGAGATGATGTCCCAAAATACAGAATAAAAATATCCAATATACTTCTGCCTCTCAGGGACCGTTGCCAACGCCACCACTTCCATCTGCTGACCAGCTGAGAGCTGTTAGGGTTCCTTTGTCTCCCTTGTGTTCTCAAGAAAGTAACGTGCTGTGGGGTGTTTATTTACTTTCTATCTCGCCTCCTTCAGCACTGCAGCGTTGGCGCAGTCTTGCTGCACCTCTCAGAATTTCATGGAAATCTCACAGATCTGTGCCTTCTCTCCCCCAGGCTGAGTGGTCTCAGGGCTCTCAGTCGTTCCCCATTGGGATGCTCCAAGCCCCCACCACCTCTATAGGCTTCCTCCCACATTGTCAGCCAGCCTCCAGCCTCAAGGGCTGCTCTGTGCTCACGTCCCTTGTTGGCCACATGGCTACTGAGCACCCAAACTCCCACAGGAACAAGGACACCACCAGGGACGAGTTCATCTTCTACTCCAAGCGCCTGATGCGGCTGCTGATTGAGCACGCGCTCTCCTTCCTCCCTTTGAAGGTGTGGCCCTGACCCTCCATCCCTATTGCCCCAGAGGCAGTGTGGCCACGTGGGGATGGCTTTGCCCACACTCTCTTCACCTTTCCTTTCTGCAGTCAGTCACGGTGGAGACGCCGCAGGGGACGACCTATGAAGGGAAGAGGTTCCATAGACAGCGGGTGAGATGTACCAGTCCCCTTATGCACTGGGTACCAACTGGGACAGTGCAGTGGTCAACCATTGGGCGCCTAGTAGTCAACTGTTGGCCAACCATTGGTCAGCTGTTGGTCAACCACTGATCAGCCATTGCTTGATCAATCACTGGTCAACTGTCAGTCAACTGTTGAGCAACCATTGGTCAACTGTTGGTCAACCGCTGGTCAGCCATTGCTTTGTCAGCCATTGGTCAACTGTCAGCCAGCTGTTGGCCAACCATTGGTCAGCTGTAGGGCGGTCCCTTGCCTTGTGGGTAATTGTGCGTCCCACCAGGTCCTGTGGGGTAGTTGTGGGTCCCACCAGGTCCTGTGGGAGCAGCTGGGTTCAGAATGAGGGGGACAGAGGCTCAGCAGGGCTGGGCAGGGGACAACGAATGCAGAGGATGTGGCCATAACGCAGGGCTCCTGTCCCATCCTAGATCACTGGCGTGTCCATCCTGAGGGCCGGGGAGACCATGGAGCAAGCGCTGACCGCCGTCTGCAAGGACATCCGCCTGGGCAAGATTCTGATCCAGACCAACCACGACACGGGGGAGCCTGAGGTGAGCAGCAGCTGCAGCCCCCAGGCTGAGCCCCCAGCACACCGCCTCGGTGCCTGACTGCCTGTCCCCTCCAGCTGCACTACCTGCGCCTGCCCAAGGAGATCAGCGAGGACTACGTCATCCTCATGGACAGCACCGTGTCCACCGGCGCTGCTGCCATGATGGCCGTACGCGTGCTGCTGGTGAGGGGCCGGGCAGGGTGGGGGTCTCACAGCCCACCGGGGGGGCGCGGGCAGGGCTCTGATGGTGCCGTGCTGCAGGACCACGACGTGCCGGAGGAGCGCATCTTCCTGCTGTCGCTGCTGATGGCTGAGATGGGAGTGCACTCGGTGGCTTACGCTTTCCCCCGAGTCCGCATCATCACCACGGCCGTGGACAAGAGGATCAACGAGGAGTTCCACATCATCCCCGGCATCGGTGAGGGCGGGAGGGGGAGTGGGGGAGATGCTCTTGTCAGTCACCCCGCTCACCTCTCTCCCTGTCTCCCGCAGGGAACTTTGGGGACAGGTACTTCGGCACCGACGCGCCGCCTGCCTGCACCGACAGCGAAGCCATGGACTGCTGAGCCCGCCGGCCCCGGGGGGCACAGTGCCACCACTCCCCCCACCCACCCAGCGGGATCCCGGGTCGGGTCCTGCGTTGCTGGAATCTGTATTTATTTGTATTTATTCTGAGTAGCCGCCCCCTCGGCGCTGCTGCAGACCATCAGGGATGGGGGGGATTTCTCCTTGCGCTCCGTCACCCCCGCGTGGCACGTGGGGGGTGGGGAGGGGGAGGTTTGATATTCAAACACTCCTTTGCATTCCAGCCTCGTGGCGGTGAGGCCGTACTGGCCCCCCCGAAGATTGCTTTTTGGGGGGAGGGGACCACGCTGGGGCAAGGGCTGCTCCTCGGGCCCCCCCATCCCTCCAGGGCTGGGCCGTGCCATGCTTCTTGCTCAGGTTCTTCGGGCCGGGGGCCATGGGGGCAGTGGGGCCCCCCCTCCGCTTTGCCGCCCGCTCCGTACTGTACGTGGCCGCCTTCGTTTTTGTACCGGAATAAAGGAGCAGCGCGGCCACCGCCGATGGCTCAGAGCGAGGAGTGGGGGGAAAAAGAGGAGGGAGGCAAAGCGCTGCGGAGGTGTCCGGCGTGGGGACTGAGTGGGTGGCAATGGGTGGTGTTAGGGGGTGTTCCCAATGGGGCGGGCACCAACTGGGGCCTGCTGCTTGTTGCTGGGGGCTGGTGAGGTGGGGGCTAGTGAGGGGACTAATCTTGAGGGGGCTAATGGGAGGAGCTGGGGAGGTGGGGGTAGACCTGGGGGCTGAGGACTAGGGGCTGGGGGTCGGTGTGGGAGGCCGGTGGCTGACGCTGGGGCAGATGCCTGGCGCTCGCAGCCCTCCGCCGTGCCGCCCCGCAGCCCAAGCTCCGCCCGCTCGGGGCGGTGTCCGACGGACGGACGGACGGAAGGAAGCGGCCGCGGCTCCGCGCTCCCTGCCGGCCCGGCCGGGCTCTGCCCCGCGCCCGCTGCCCTCCGGCCGTTGCCGCGGCCATGGCGGAGCCGGGCAGGCCGCAGCGGAAACTGTCGAGGGTCGGAGAGAGCCTCTACCGCGTCCTGGGGCTGGAGAAGGGCAGCTCGCCCGAGGAGATCAAGCGGGCTTACCGGTACAACGGGCGCGGGGCGGGCCGTGCTGTTCCGTACCGCTCGGTACCGGTACAGCGGACGTGGGGCGGCCGTAGCGCTCGGTAGCGAGCCGTGCCGGACCTCCCCGTGTCCCCGTGTGCCCCCAGGAAGCTGGCGCTGCGCTACCACCCCGATAAGAACCCGGACGACCCGGCGGCGGCCGAACGCTTCAAGGAGATCAACAGCGCTCATGCCACGCTCAGCGACGCCGACCGGAGACGGCTGTACGATCAGTACGGATCGCTGGGCCTCTACGTGGCCGAGCAGTTCGGAGACGATGCCGTCCGTCACTACTTCCTCATGTCCCAGTGGTGGTTCCAGGTGGGCGCCGAGGAGCTGGGCGTGGGGGTCTCACGGTGGCCCCGGGGGTCTTACAGTGACCTTGGGATCTCGGGGCAGATGGACACCGGGGTCTCAGAGTGGCCACGGGCATCTCAAAGTGGCCCCAGGGGTCTTGAGGCAGCCCTAGGGTCTCTCAGGGTGTGGGTCTGGGGTCTCAGAAGGGTCCTGGGGTCTCACGGTGGCTCTCAGGGTCTTAAAGTGGTCCTGGGGATCTTAGGGCAGCTGGCCACTGGGATTTCAGGGTGGCCCTGGCCATCTCAGAGTGGACCCAGAGATTTCACTGTGCAGCCCCAGGGGTCTCAGGTGGCCCTGGGGTCTCACAGTGTCTGGGTCTGGGGTCTCAGGAGGGCCCTGAGGTCTCACGGTGGCTTCCAAGGTCTTACAGTGGCCCTGGGGATCTTGGGACAGCTGAACACTGGGGTCTCAGGGTGGCCCTGGGGTCTCAGTGAGGCTCCAGAGGTCTCAAGGCAGCCATGAAGTCTCACATTGTCTGAATCTGGGGTCTCATGTGGCCCTGGGGTCTTACAGTGATCCTGGGGATCTCACAGCACCTGCCCACTGGGATTTCAGGGTGGTCCTCAGCAGCTCAGAGTGGCCCCAGAGGTTTGAATGTGCAGCCACAGGGGTCTCAAGACAGCCCTGGGGTCTCTCAGGGTCTGGGTCTGGGGTCTCAGTTGGCCCTGAGGCTTCATGGTGGATACCAAGGTCTTACAATGGCCCTGGGGTTCTCAGGGCAGCTGGACACTGGGGTGTCAGGGTGGCCCCAGGGGGCTCAATGGAACTCCAGGGGTCTCAAGGCAGCCCTGGGATCTCACAGTGCCTGGGTCTGGGATCTTAGGGGGGCCCCAATGTCTTAGGCTGGCTCCAGGTGTCGTACAGTGGCCCTGGGATTGTCATGGCAGCTGGCTACTGGGATTTCAGGGTGGCCCTGGCTGTCTCAAAGTGGCCCCAGAGGTTTCAATGTGCAGCTCCAGGGGTCTCAAGGCAGCCCTGGGGTCTCAGGAGGGCCCTGAGGTCTCACGGTGGCTCCTGAGGTCTTACAGTGGCCCTGGGAATCTTAGGGCAGCTGGACACTGGGATCTCAGGGTGGCCCCAGGGGTCACAGCAAGGCTCCAGGGGTCTTAGAGCAGCTCTGGAGTCTCACAGTGCTTGGGTCTAGGGTCTTAGGGTGGCTGCAGGTATAGTACAATGGCCCTGGGATTCTCATGGCAGCTGGACACTGGGGGTCTCAGTGAGGCTCCAGGGGTCTCAAGGCAGTCCTGGAGTCTCACAGTGTCTGAATCTGGGGTCTCAGGAGGGCCCTAGGGTCTCACGATGGCTCCCAGGGACTTACAGTGGTGCTGGGATTCTCATAGCAGCTGGCCACTGGTATTTCAGGGTGACCCTGACCATCTCAGAGTGACCCTGGAGGTTTCAATGCGCAGACTCAGGGGTCTCAAGGCAGCCCTGGTTTCTCACAGTGTATGGGTCTATGGTCTCAGGAGGGCCCTGAGGTCTCACGGTGGCTCCCGGGGTCTTACAGTGGCTCTGGAGATCTCATGGCTGCTGGACACTTGGGTCTCAGAGTCACCCTGAGGGTCTCAATGAGGCTCCAGGGGTTTCAATGCAGCCACAGAGTCTCACATTGCCTGGGTCTGGAGTCTCAGGAGGGCCTTGGGCTCACAGAGTGACTCCTGGGGTCTTACAGTGGCTCTAGAAATCTTAGGGCAGCTGGACACAGGGGTATAAGTGTGGCTTCAGGGGTCTCAATGAGGCTCCAGGGGTCTCAACACAGCCCTGGGGACTCACAGTGCCTGGGTCTGGGGTCTTAGGAGGGCCCCAAGGTCTTAGGGTGGCTCCAGGTGTCGTACAGTGGCCCTGGGATTCTCATGGCAGTTGGACACCGGGGTCTCAGGGTGGCCCCAGAGGTCTCAAGGCTGCCCTGGGATCTCAGTATCTGGGTCTGGTGTCTCATGTGGCCCTGGGGTCTGATAGTGGCCCTGGGGATCACATGGCAGCTGGGCCCTGGGGTCTCAGAGCAGCCCCGTGGCTCTCCTGGCAATCCGAGGCTCTTAGGGTGTCCCAGGGTCTCAGGGTAGCCTCGGTGGTCTCTGGGGAGCTGCAGGCTGTGACATCCCATCCTGCAGGCCCTGGCGCTGTGCTGCGGCGTGCTGACCTGCTGCTGCTGTTTCTGCTGCTGCTTCTTCTGCTGTGGGAGGTGCTGCCCGCCCCGTGAAGACGAGTCCTATAAGTACGTCGACCCCAAGGACCTGGAGGCGGACGATGGTGGTGGTGAGTCGGGGTCTGAAATCGTGACCCACGCGATGCTCCCAGTTCACAGGGACCTGCAGGGGGGGGCCGCAGGGCTGGGGGCTGGTGGGACCCATGGGCTGGGAGCTCCCTTGGATTCCTCAGGGTCTGCAACGTGAGTGCTGTGCTGATGCCAGCAGGCAGCCCCATATCACTGCCCGGACCCCCAGGACCCCTCCCCAGGTCAACTGATCCACACCTTTTCTTTCCAGACCCACAGGACCCGGTGGAAGCGCAGCCCTCCCCAAGCGGCGCCCAGCCCCTGCCCGCTGCCGGAGCCAGGAGCGAGGCATAGGGCTGCCTATGTGCCGGGGGAGGGGGAGGAGGGGGAGTGGAGAGCCTCCTCCTGGACCACCGCCGCTCCCTAGGACCCCATCAGGGGGCGTGGGGGGGGCACAATCTCAGGTGAAAACGTCCTGCAGCGCTGTGACCGAGACCGGTAGCACTGTAACCGCGGGGCCGGACCCCCCTGACGGGCGCTGGGTGCCAAACGCTGCTCTGGGGTTGACGGGGTGGGGGGGGGGGTTTGGGAGGAGGGAGAGGAGGGGCCGCCCGCCGTGCCCCCTCTCTGCCCCACCGCGGGGCCGCACCGCGCTCGCTATGGGGCTGGGACCCTTCAGGCACTTTCCGTGGGTTTGTATAGATTTTATGAGCACCATTAAAGGATGATGGGGGGGAGTTCGGCGGCGTGGTCTCTTGTCTCGGAGGGGCGGCGGTGGGGCTGGGCTGGGCTGGGCTGGTGGGGGCAGCGCCGTGCCGCTCCCGGGGGGCGTCGGGACGGAGTGACCCCGGCGGTGGGACGGCCGCCCGCCGTGACTCAGTGTCACCCGACGCCGCCGACAGCTGCGCGGCCCCGACGGGGCGGGGGCGGCTAAAATTAGAGCTGCGGGGCCGGAACGGGGCAGTGCGGGGCAGGAGCGGTACCGAAGAGGTACCGGGACCGCGGCGATGAATTTCGCGGTGGGGCTGAAGCCGCTGCTGGCGGAAGCGCGCAGCATGGAGAGCCTGGAGAAGCAGCTCATCTGTCCCATCTGCCTGGAGATGTTCACCAAGCCCGTGGTCATCCTGCCCTGCCAGCACAACCTCTGCCGCAAGTGCGCAAACGACGTCTTCCAGGTGCGGGGCGAGGCGGGGCGCCGGGACGGGGTGCGCTGTGCCCTGGGTGCCCACGGGGCTCCGTGCACGGGAGGAGGGGGGGGGTCTCTCCCCCGAAGCGGGGCGGGAGCCCCCCCCCCCCCCCCCGCCCTGCTCTCCTCTTCCACCCCGTCCCCCTCCCCTAGGCCTCCAACCCTCTGTGGCAGTCGCGGGGTTCCGGCGCGGGGCCGTCCGGGGGACGGTTCCGGTGCCCGTCGTGCCGCCACGAGGTGGTGCTGGACCGGCACGGGGTGTACGGGCTGCAGCGGAACCTGCTGGTGGAGAACATCATCGACATCTACAAGCAGGAGTCCGCGCGGTGCGGGGCGGCCCACGGTTGGGCGGGGCGGGACACGGATTGGAGGGAGCCCGTTTTTGGGGGGTGGGGGAATTGGGGTTAAAGGGGGCGTCTGAGGGGCTTGGGGGCACCGTGGGGTGAGGTTGGGCAAGGGGGTGCCGTGGAGTGTGGGGTATGGGGGGTTGCGCAGGGAACACGAGGGGAAATAAGGCTCCAGGGTGGGGATTTGGGGTAAAGGGGCTCCTGTGGGGCTGGGGGTGCGGTGGAGCGTAGGGGTGCGGTGAGGCGGGGGATGCTACAGGGAAGACGGCTGCCGTGGGGCTGTGCCGTGGGGCGCAGCGCCTTCTCCCCACCCCCCACCCCGACCCGCAGCCCCCTGCACGCGAAGGCGGAGCAACATCTGATGTGCGAGGAGCACGAGGACGAGCGCATCAACATCTACTGCCTGCGCTGCGAGGCGCCCACCTGCTCGCTCTGCAAGGTGTTCGGCGCTCACAAGGACTGCGAGGTCGCCCCTCTTCCCGCCGTGTACCAGCGCCAGAAGGTGGGATACCCCTAGGGGTGGGGCGATTGGGCACGGTAGGGAGGTTTCCTGGCGCGATCCCAACGCTGCTCCGCCCCCCAGAGCGAGCTGAGCGACGGCATCGCCATGCTGGTGGCGGGCAACGACCGCATCCAGGCCATCATCACTCAGATGGAGGAGATCTGCCGCACCATCGAGGTGGGGCTGCCCTGTGTGTGCGTTCCCCCCCCCCCCCTCCCCAGACCCCGTGTGTGGGGTCTGCGTGGTTTGGGATCCCCACGCCATGGCTTGTGTCCACCTCGTGGGATGCTCTTGGGAGGGAAATGCCCGCTGCAGGCACAGAATGCGGGTGTTCCCGGGGCAGTGCCATCAGTAGGGCTGGGCTGAGAGCATGGCAGCCCCCTGAGCCCCTGGGGGGTCCCGCAGGAGAACGGCCGCCGGCAGAAGCAACACGTGGGGCTGCGCTTCGACTCGCTCTGCAGCATCTTGGAGGAGCGCAAGAAGGAGCTGCTGCAGAGCGTCAGCCGCGAGCAGGAGGCGAAGGTGCAACGCGTGCGCGGCCTCATCCGGCAGTACGGGGACCACCTGGAGGCCTCCTCCAAGCTGGTGGAGACGGCCATCCAGGCCATGGAGGAGCCCCAGATGGCCGTGTACCTGCAGGTGTCTGGGGGGGCTGCGTGCTGGGGGCTCTGCCCTGTGCTCTGCGGCTTGGTGCGTTGTTCCTGGGATGTTGACGGCACTCTGCTTTCCCCCACAGCACTCCAAGGAGCTCCTGAAGAAGTGAGTGGGGGTAGGGTGGGATGGGATGGGATGGGGTGGGATGGGGTGCGATGGGGTGGGGTGGGGATGAGAATGAGATGGGGATGGTGTAGGGGGTAGGTGGGCAGGGCTCACACTGCTTGCTCTACCCCCAGGATCACAGACATGTCCAAGGTGTCGATGAGCAGCCGCCCTGAGCCCGGTTATGAGAGCATGGACCACTTCTCCATCAATGTGGACCATGTGGCCGAGATGCTGCGCACCATTGACTTCCAGCCAGGTGCCGGTGTGGGGCAGGCACTGCCTCGGGGGGGGGGAGACTGCTACAGGGATGTCCTCACACTGAGTTGTGCCTCTGCCCCACAGAAGTGCTGGGTGAGGATGATGGGGACGGACCCACAGACAGCAGTGAGGGTGTGGGGGATGAGGAAAATCTGGAGGTACCTGAGGCTGCTGAGGGTGAGTGCGTGCTGTGCTGTGCTGTGCAGTGCCATGCTGTGCTGAAGTCACCATGGTGCTTCTGTGGCTGCAGTGTGGCTCTGTATGGTACATGGTCCCGCACTGCACCATATGATCCTCCCTCCAACTGTCCACTGCTTTTTCTCCACAGATGTGGGGCAAAGGCAGAAGCCACTGAGCTCTCCCCATGGTGAGATGCTCTGTGGGGATGAGCCGGGTGTGATAAGAGGAATGGGGATGGGATGAGGAAAGGGATGGGGATGGGATGGAGATGGGGTGGCAGGGGATGGGGTGAGGAAGGGTGGGGATGGGGAGAGAGATGGAGTGAGGATGGGGGTAGGATAGGGATGGGATGGGGATAGGATGGGGATGGGAATGGGATGGGGATGGGGAGAGGGATGGAGTGAGGATGGGGATAGGATAGGGATGGGAATATGATGGGGATGGGAATGGAATGGGGATGGGATGGGATGGGATGGGGTTGGGGATGGGGATGAGATGGGGATGGGGATGGGGATGGGAGAGGGACTTTGTGCTGATCACAGTGCTGAGGCCAATGTCCCGTGCAGGTCAGCACTGAGCTGGATTCACAGCACAACATTGGCATCAGCAAACCCTACAGCCCTACGACTGCTACGAGCCCCACATGGTGGGGCTGCCCTCAGCCCTCATTAAACCAATGCAGAGGACACTGTGAGGTGTGGTGTGTGGGGATGAGTTGGGTGCCCCTCGCCCCAGGGCTTTGCGCTCCGCCTGCAGCCCCGTGTCTGGGGGGAGCACCCACGTCTGCCACCCCCGCAGCGCCGTCTGGCAGCACCGTCCCCTGGGTGCACCGAGCAAACAGCGCCGGGCTGAGCACACAGCACTGCAATTACCGGTGGGTCACGGCCCGTGCCCCCACCCCGCTGCCGCACCGCACCACGTCAGCCACCCCACGTCACCGCTGATGCACGGGGACAGGGACCGGGTGTCTCTGTGCCCCACGGATCCCAGCTCGGCTTGCGGCCTTCAGCAGCGGAAGGGGATGGAGGGCAGTGACGGCTGCTGGGTGGGGGTAGGGGCACAGTCGGGGCCACTCAGCCTGGATCGGGGGGGGCTCGGGAAGGGTCTTACCAATATCCGAAGTTGGGGACGCGGCAGAGATGGAGACGATGTCCCACAAGCGAGTCCACACTACGGCTTTTCTACAGCGTTTTATTACAAAATCGGAGCAGAGCCGTCCCGAGGGGCAGTCCCGCAGCCGCGCACCCATCGGAGTGGTCCCGGCGCGGTGCGGTGCCGGCGCGGGGCTCAGCGTCCCACGGCGTCGAGGATGCGGCGGTTGGTGTCGGCGCGGGCGCGCTCGCTCTGTGCGCGGGCGAGCAGCAGGAGGTGCCGCAGAAGATGGAACGTGAGGTCGATGGAAAGCGGGGGGTCGTCCCTCCTCGCCCTCCACGGCTCCGCGGGCAGCGGCGGCCACAGTGCTTCGGACCTCCCCTCCGCCGCGGGGATCCCCGAACCGGGGACGTCGGGACCGTCGGGGCCGTCGGGGCGGGCGGGGCGGGGGGCGGCGGGGAACGGGCGGCACAGCAGCAGCAGAACGGTGAGCAGCGCCCGCCGCATTTCGGCTCGTCCGCACCTGCGGGGCAGGGGGTCAGCGCGGAGCCCGCACCCGACGGGGCTTCCCCGGGGCCGAGCGTCCCCCGTCCCGCCCCGTCCCGCCCCGCTTCGTCCCGCACCGCCCGTACCGCTGCTCTGAGCTCTGGGCGCCGTGCGCTGCGCGGAGCTCCGTCCGTCCCCGCGGGGCTGAGCCGGAGCCGCGCTCGGGGCTTTATATGGGGCTCGGAGCGGGGCTGACGTCAGCGGCGGGCACGCACCGGGCGGGGGCGGGGGGTGCGGGGCTGGGGGGAGCGGCGGGTCCGAACCGCACCGGGACCGGGAGCGGCCTTTCCGGGACCCGCCGCGCTCCGGTACCCGTTCACCCCCCGCACCCCGCACCCCGCCCGGCCCCGCACCGCTCGCGCCCGCACCCCGCGCCCCTCTCCCGGTGCCGCTCTCCGTGGTGCTGAAAGGGCAGCGCGGGACGCAGCGCCGTCGGCGCGAGGCGGGCGTCGGGGCTGCGTTTCCCGTCGAAGATGGGGTGCCGGCCCCCCGCACCGTCGCGACGTCCCCCCTCCAATCCTCCCTCCCCCGGTGCGCACCCCCCCTGGCACCGCGCCGGTCCCGCACGCCGCGGCCAAGCGCTGCAGACGGCCCCGAGGAAGCGGCGGTGGCCAACGGCGTGACTCATAGCACGAGCGCGGTGCCATGCGGCTCGGGGGTACGGCACCGCGGCACCGCGCCCGGCGAGGATGGGGTAACGGCGGGCCGAGGGCTGAATCCCCGTGCCCAAAACGCCACGGGGAGGCAGGGGGCCGAGAATTCACGCGTTGCCAGGAGCAGCGGAGCTCTGCATTTATTGGGTGCTCCTGAAGGACGAGTCTGGGTGGAGGTACTGTAGTGCACTGTCGCACGTGGGGTGTGAACCAGCAGCAAGGCTGGGGAAGGACGGAGCACCCCACGTGCTAGGCAGGACACGGAGCGCGGACAGAGCGGTCTCACAGCCCCACGGGGTCACTGCTGCCATAGCATCTCTGTGGGGGACCACACGGTGCTCCAGCCCCACACACTCCCTGGCTGAGCCCCCAGAGGTGGTGGGTGGGGGCACCTGGAGCACGGCTCCCCCCCCTCAAAGCCGGTTTGCTTTCCAGGACAGGTAGCAGTTCCAGACAATGGCAACGCACTGCACAACAGCCAACCTGGGAACAGAGGGATGGATGGGTCAGCAGCCAAAGCCATGGGGAACAGGATCCATGCGGCCATGAGGCTGTGCTGCTACCTGTGGACCAGAGGGACGAAGTAGAAGTTGGCGATCTGCACCGGCGGCCAAATCTGGGCAGAGGGGAGGAGCGATATGAGGGGTCACAGGCAGCTCTGTGCCACGGGATCAGGGAATCCAACAGAGGATTTCATCCTCAGCACTTACACAGTAGTTGGTGAGCAGCGCATCTACGTAGTCCTGGGGAAGGTAGAGGCCATGAGAGCAGGGAGCAGCCCCGCAACCACACCACCCCACACACAGCCCGGCACAGTTGAGGGCAGAGGAGCAGCGCAGGTACAGCTGTGACCCAGCACACAGCAGGCAGGGACTGCAGTCCCCCCAAGCTGGGCATAGGGCAGGTGCCACTTCCCCTGCCCAGGGATGTGCCCATGTAGGGCTGAGAGTGGTGACAGCATGGGAGCAGAAGGCAGCCAGGAGCCCTGCATGAGGTCTGGGGCACAGCTCCCGCCACCAGCCTTGGTGCAGACCCCCAGGGTCACAGATGTCAGGGACAAGGGGGGAGCACAACACGCCACCCGTCCCCTTGCCCAGCCTGGCTGTGACTCAGCCAGGATCCAGCCTCATCCCGGCACTGGCCGGCGGCCCAGAACGAGGAGAGCGAGCGCTGGGGTGATGGATGCGCTGTGACGCTCCCTCTACGTGGGGAGAGGCAGATGTGCCCCAAGTAGGGGTGAAGGTGTCCCCAGAGCAGAGCCTGGGGCTCGCAGCCCACCTGGAGCACCCCGTTCCAGTTACAGCCCGCAGGGTGGGGATCTCGCCCACAGCCCTGAGGCACCGTATGCTGCACCCCGACAGATGAGTGAGCACCCCTCGTCCCCTGATGCTGTGTCCCATGGAGGGTGGGCACCCGCTCCCTGGTGAGTCACCCTCCGGTTGCGCTGACTCAGCGCCTGCGCTGGGTTCCAGCAATCGCTGCTAATGGGAACCATCTCGGTAATGGCTCTGAGACGTGGCCAGGAGAGGGGACACATGGCATACAGGGAGCTGGGGGCACCGCATCCAGCCCATGTGGGACCCCACAGCATGTCCCACTCCCGCACTCGTCACCTCCTGTAAGATGCTGCACCAAGCACCGACCTGGGTCTGGCCCTGCAGTGGCTTCTCTGTGTCCCATAGCCATCAACACCTCACCCCAGCAGTGGGGCAGCAGCAGCAGCTGGCTCTGGGCTGGGGACACAACAGCCACGAGGGCAGGAGGGAGCGGAGAGGTCAGGGGCAAACCCAGCACCACGAATGTTAGAGCCAAGCGGGCATCCTGGCCCCAACAGCCCAAGCCGCTTGGGGAAGGCACGCACCTGCTGGATCTTGGCCCAGTTCTGCTCCACCGACAGCCCGTTCACCACCCCGGTGATGGCGAGGAAGCAGCCGAGGAAACACGGTGCAAAGGCACCCTGCAAGAGAGCAGCAGGAGCCTGGGTGAGACCCTACAGTGCCCGGAGCCCACAGCACACAGCTGCAGGGATGGGGCCTGCAAATCTGGGAGCACCCGAGAGCAGTAGCAGGAGGGAGGCAGCGCTGTCCTGCCTCCCCATCCCCACACCATGTGGCACTGACCTGGTCCAGCATCATCTTCTTTACAGCCACAGCTTTCGTGGCCCCTGGGATGAGCCGGTCCAGGATCCTGTACCAGCCGCCCACAACGGGGCCCTGCGAGAGCTGCGTGCTGAGCGCGGTGCCTGGGCCGTGGGGAGCCCACAGAACTGGGCAGCCACCTGCCCACACCACAGCTTGGCACGTGTGCCCCCCACATCAGCACTCACCACAAAGCAGAAGCCGATGGCTGTCATTTTCAGGGTGCGTTGGCTGTGGTGCCCGTGCAGCCCGCGCTGCTCCACCAGCTGCTGTGCGATCACATCGCCGGCTCCCATCAGTGCCCCTGAAACCGGCCCGGAGCTCAGGAGGGCAGCGGGCATGGGGTGTGGGTTCTGCCCAAGCACAGCCCCCAGCCTCACGAGTAGCTGATCCCCAGTTGTGCCGTTCCTCGCTCGGTGCCAGGACTGCTCCTGGTTCCTCCTGGCCTCTGGCACAGCTCGGAGCAGTGTTTCCATATCAGTGTGCAGGATTTAGCTGCGTGCCCACGCCCTCGGTGGGGTGCAGCTCAGCAGGTCTTTGGCAGCCCCCTCCTCGTTCTGCCCTCCCGACCTCTTCGACGCAACTCCCTTGGCTCGGCACTCTGTGCCCCAGCCCTTGTGGGTTCCACGCTCACTCCCAGCACTCTGGTTCCCAGGCAGTGCTCCAGCCCTCATGCTTCTGCTCCCTTCTTGAGAACTTGGAGCACCCCCATATCAGCCCCTCACAGAGCAGACTCCAGCCTAAGGTCACAGCCACAGCACTGTGCACCCAGCATCCCCAGCCTGAATGCAGCCACAGGGGGATGCAACCCCCAGCATGACCCACCCTGACAGGCAAGGCCAGACTGCACAGCTGAGGTGGCCCAGGAGGGTCTGGTGACAGTGACCCAACCCTAACCCCTAACCAAGGATGAGCTCACTGCTGTGTCCCCCCCAGTCCCCCCAGGCCCTGCTTGCTTAGTCTACCGCTCCTGCACGCTGCAGCCAAGGGCCCTGGAGCGCACTCAAGCCTAAGTAGGGCACAATGTAGGCAGCCCCTGTGGGCCTCGCTGGCTGCAGGGCTGCTCACTCCAGGCAGAGGTCACCAGGTCACCATTGCGGGCACGTGCTGCTGCTGCCGCCGGACTCAGGCTCTGCTGGCATGCTGGACCCCATCCCAGGCTGCAGGAGGTAAAGTGCTGCCCCGCAGCTCTCACCACTGCTGGCTGCCCCCAGTGCAAGCAGCTGCCAGGAAATGTCCCCAGCCTGGCCCCGGCTGCAGATCTGTGCTGGGGGAACATCTCAGCTGCACAGCGGGACCGGAGCTCAGGGCTGGAACGTGGAGGGCTGCAGTCCTTCAGGTGTGCCCAGACACAAGGACTGAGCCCCTCCTTGGCCACCGAATCCCATTCAGCACCGAGGGCTGCACACTCCCACAGTCAGTCCAGGGGCTGCCCCCCACTGCAGAAGAGTCAGCTCCAGTAGTGAGAAGCAACAGTGAGAGGGATCCCAGAGCAAGTCTCAAACTGCAGTGTGTGCTCAGCGCGAGGGCCCCCCGGCTCTGCCTGGCCCCCCTCCAGGACACGGAGGAACATCGCGGCGGCACAGCCCCACAGCGGGTGCCAGGCAGTGAATTCCATCAGAGGAGATAAAAATAACAAAGGGAACGGTGAGGTGGCCTGGCACAGCCCCAGCGCCTGGCACCACCCCCAGCAGCGGCTGGCAGCAGAGCCGGTGCCGTCACCCCACGGGTATGGGGGGGGGGGGGATGGGCAGAGGATACTGGAGGCGCTCCCATCCCCCAACCCCCCCTTCCGGGAAGGTGCGTTTCAGTGGGCTCAGGGCTACATACGGGGATCCACCCGAAAAGGAGTAGGGGCCTCTGGACTCGTGGCATCCGCCCGTCCCGGACACGGAGGGGTCCCAAAGGAAACGGAACGGACCAAGGAGCGGCCCACGGAGCCCGGGGCGGCTGCCGGGGAAAGTCCTCTGCAGGCCCAGGCGCCGGGGCCGAACAGGCCCAAAGCCCCTACAGCTCCTCCCATCCCCAAGGCCCCACCACTACCAGCACCCCCCGGCCCACGGAGTCGTCGTGCGATGCAGAAGAGGGCGGGCCGGGCCCTTACCGGCGGTCAGCGCCTGCACGGCCCCGGGCCGCCGCGCCAGGAGCCGCCGCAGCGCCGCCATGCCTCCCGCATGGCCACGTGACACGGCGCAGAATGATGACGCACACCCCAGCGCGGCACAGGAGCGGCTGAATGGAGGCGGCGCCCCGTCGCAGTTTATTGTCGTCAGTAGCGGCCCAGCACGGTGGCCAGCAGCGCCATCCGCACGTACATGCCCTGCTCTGCCTGCCGGAAGTACGCGGCGCGCGGGTCCGAGTCCACCTCCACGCTGCGGATGTGATGTCAGTACGGGGAGTTTTCCCCCGCTCCCCCCGGGCCCGGATGGGAACCATTTCCTCCCCTTCACAGCCCCCTGTTCCCGCCGTTTTCCCGCAGGACCCCAGCTGCGTGCGATCCCCTCTCCCCAGGCCCCCATACTCAGACCCCATTTACCCTGTCATCTCACATTTCCCTCCACCCGGGGACAGGACCTTTCCCCGTTCCCCCCCAACCCAGCCCTGAGGCCCTGCTGCCCCAAGCACCCCACCAGCTGGTTGCAGCCCCCTCCAGAATCCCATTCCTCCTCACCTGGACAGCATCCAACCCTTGCCTCCCCTTGTCTCCCCCTGCAAAGCCCCTGTCTTCCTTCCTACCACTCCTCCCCCATTCCAGGACTCCATAACCCTACCACAAGACTGCCCCCCTCAATCCCACCTGATCTCGTTGACACGGGGCATGGGGTGCATCACCACCATCTTCTCCTTGGCCCTCGTCATGATGTGCGGCGTGAGGATGAACTGCCCAAAGCACTGCGGGGCCACAGCCCTGAGCAAGGGGGGGGGGGACCCTCCCAGCCCTCCCCCCAGCCCTCCCCCCAGCCTGCACTCACAGCCTCGTACTCCTCAGCACTCTCAAAGCGTTCCCGCTGGATGCGGGTCATGTAGAGCACGTCGGTGTCGGGCAGCGCCTCCTCAATGCTCCCAAACTCCTCCTGGGGCAGCACCATCAGCAGGGCCGTGGGCTGGGCACAGCCCCACAGCCCCAGCTCCATTCCTCACCTGCGAGATGCCCTTAGAAGCCACGAAGGCAGCAATGTCAGGCGGCATGCCGAGGCCGCGGGGTGTGACGTAGCGCAGGTGGACACGGTACTGCGTGAGCAGGCGGGCCAGCGAGTGCACCGTGCGCCCGTGCTTCAGGTCGCCCACCATGGTGATCTGCGGGGAGAGTCATCAGCACAACCCACGGCACGGCACCCACCAGCCCACGGCACGGCATACAGCATCTCACCGTCATGCCGTTGACTGTCCCCAACTCCTCACGGATGGTGAAGATGTCCAGCAGCGCCTGCGTCGGGTGCTCGCCCACCCCATCACCAGCGTTAATCACGGGCTTGCGGCAGTGTGTGGCGGCCAGCTGGGCACACAGTGGGCCAAGAGTGAAATCCCCACACGTATCCTGACAGCAGCATGGCATTGCCACGTGGCAGGAAGCAGCCCCCCCGCTCACCTCCACAGCTCCAGGCTGGGGGTGCCGCAGCACCAGGACGTCGGCGTAGCAGCACATGGTCTGCACAGAGTCGGCTAGCGACTCGCCCTTCTGCACTGAGGAGGTGGCCTCGGAGAATGACACCACAGAGCCACCCAGCCGGCACATGGCGGCCGCAAAGGAGCTGCTGGTGCGTGTGCTCGCCTCGTAGAACATCGATGCCATCACTTTGCCCTGCAGGACATGGTGTCAGGCGTAGGGAGGGGCGTGGGGCACGCAGCGTTTGCTCCCTGCTCACCTTTAGGATGTCCAAACTGCGCTCCTTCTGCACCAGCATGCGCAGGGTGTGTGCCACGTTGAACAGATGTGACATCTGCGGGGAAATGCGGCTCAGGGGGGGCACCATCCAGCATGGAGACCCCTGCCCCGTGTCCGCCTGGTACCCACCTGCTCCTTGGAGAACTGCCGCACAGAGAGGATGTGCTGCCCGACCAGGGGGTGCAGCAGCGGTGAGGTGGGGAAGTGGGGCACACCTTGGGGGGATGCCTGGCGTGGGAAGGGGCCCGACAGGTGGGGGTGGCTGTCCTGAGTGGCCGTCGCATCTGTGGCACCAGGAGCACACAGTGAACCTACATGGGAAGCACGCAGAGCTCCCAGCCCCCGGTACTCACCTGCCTCTGCCATCCTCCTGCCAGCTTTCTCCCGTGTGTCCTCAGCTGAGCATGAAAGGGGAAGGCAGTGTTAGAGCACAGAGCTCCCAGCACTCTCAGCACAGCAGGCGTGACACTACAGTGATGCTTGCCCCAAAACGAGCTGGGTCAAGCCCCCGCGCTGTGCCCCACATGCACCCCGTGGAACCCAACGGGACGCAGCCCTGATCCTGGGAGGCACAGGGCCCCGAGGTGCCGGGCGGGCTGGGGCTGAGCGGGAGGGGAGCACCGCTGTGCTCCATCCCACGGTCTCAGCCCCTCACAAAGGGGGGCCCGGGGCTGGCGCGGCACCTGGGGGGGGGCTGCACTCATCGGCTGCGCTTATAGTGCCATAACGCGGGGCTGAGTGAGTCCCCCCCAACATTACCGGTGCCTCGGGCGCCCGGGCGGTGCGCGGCTCCCAGCCTCTGGAACGCTGAACGGGACACAAGGGCAGGGTCAGCGCGGCACCCGGCCCCGACACGGCTCCCACACGGCCACATGCACGCTGTCCCCCTGCGCCACGCTGTGCCCTCCTCACCTGGCAGACCAGGGTCAGAGGCGCGGTGGATGCGGGGCGGGAGGTGGAAGCGGCCCTCGGGCACAGGGCCGGTGCGGCGCGGGCTGGAGGCTCGACTGCGCAGCGTCTCACCCACCGCTGCGTGCCGGGGCCGCTCGGGGGTCTGCAGAGAGGGGATAAGCTGGAGCAGGGCACAGGTTGTGCCCCCCTAGCACCCTGCACCCCATTACCTTCACAATCTCCTTGGTGGGGGGCACGAGCGGTGCCAGCACAGCTCCCATGGGCCACTTCCTCACATCCTGCCCGTAGCCGGGGGGCACCAGGACCTGTGGCCACAGACAGGGCGATCAGGGCTCAGAGACCCCTAGCTGAGGGGAGTTGGTGCTCGGGGACCACTGCATGTAGGGGAGCAGCACAGGGAGTGGCATTTGGTTCCCACCTGCCCATCAATGTAGGCGACCTCCCCGCGCAGAACCACCCTGCGCACTGTCCCCTTCACATTCCTGCCCTCAAAAGGTGTCCATTGTGCCTTGGAGAATGCAGTGCGCTCAGGGATGACCCACTCTTGCTCCAAGTCCACCTGCAGGGAGAGTGGTCAGAGTCTGGGGCCGGCTGTGGGGTGAGCAGTGGAACAATGACCCACCTCCACATAGGTGTCCTCCTGTGCTGGCAGCCCAAAGATCTTGCGGGGGTTCTCGTAGAGGCGCAGGATGATATCCTCCACCGTCAGCCGTCCCTCAGAGACAGCAGTCAGCAGCAGAGGCAGCATGGTCTCCAGCCCAGGGAAGCCAGGGGGTGGCTTGGGGCCCTGCTTCTCCTCCAGTGTGTGGGGAGCTGCAGGATGGAGAATGTTACCATAGTGCTTGGCCCCGCTCATCTCTGCCCTGTGCCCACGAGCGCTCACCGTGGTCAGTGGCAAAGCAGTCGATGGTGTCCATGTTCTCCCAGAGGGCCTCCAGGTCCTGGGAGGTGCCCAGTGCTGGGCGTACAGCACCACAGCCCTCCCCGAGGCGCCCCAGGTCATCTTGGCACAGGAAGAGGTGGTGTGGGGCCACCTCGCACGTCACCGGGATCCCCTTCTGCTTGGCTGCCTTGATGAGGAGGATCTGGAGGGGGCACGGTGAGGGGCAGACCCCCAACTTGCCCCACCATGGGAGGGGGTCCCAGCCCTCTGCTCACCTCCTCCCTGCGTGCCACGTGGCAGATGTGCACGGGGCGCTGGTGCAGCTGTGCCACCATCAGGACAGCAGCCACCGTCTGCCCCTCCGCATGGGCCACGATGGGCAAATGCCGTGGCCACTGCTGGAAGTGCTGTGGGAACACGAAACGATGGGTGCTGGAGCCAACACCGAGCCCCTCTGCAATTCCCCCCCCCTGCAGCAGCTCACCTCCATCCACAGCGACACATCATCCATGCGCAGGCTGGAGAAGGTGTCGTTGAGGTACAGCTTCAGCCCTGCTGCTGCTGCAGCCAGCACACCCAGTGAGCCCGCGTTGTCCACCGATGCACCCAGGAACAGGGCGAAGTCACAGCGCGCCCCGGCCTCAGCCAGCTGCAGGGATGGGAGGCAGTGGGCACAGCAGGGCAGAGCTGACCTGCAGGCTTCATGGGAAGGGGACATGGCCACGCCAGCTCCCCACTCACCTTCTGTGCCAGGGCGAAGGAGGTGGCGTCGGTGATGGCGGGGCTGGTGTTGGGCATGGCACACACCATGGTGATGCCCCCGGCCAGGGCAGCTGCAGTGCCTGAGGAGAAGTCCTCCTTGTGTGTGGCACCCGGCTCACGCAGGTGCACATGGACATCGATCAGCCCTGGGAACAGCGAGCATCAGTGTGGGAGCACTGGGGAAGCAGGTAGGGCATGGGGATATGGTGGACACGGAGAGGAGGCAGCGAAGTGGAACATCTCTGATCCCACGGCTGCTCCGTGGGGCACAACCCCAGCCTCACGTCAACCCCAGCCCTCAAACCTGGCAGGCGGATCAGTTTCTGGGATGTCATGCAGTCCACGTGCATTTTGAGCGGCGGGGCAGCTCCAATCTGGCCCAGTGCCTGCAGGCACAAGCATCATCAGGCTGGGCACATCCACCATGGGCGAACGAGGCAGGGCCAGGAGGATGCCTGCCCAGACCCCACAACATCACCCAGTGGAGCTCTCCATGCAGTGCCCATCCCACCTCTACGAAGAGTTTGGTGCATTTGATGTCAATGATGAGTGGCACGGAGTAGTCAACAGCCAGGCGCCGCGTACGGTAACCCTTGGTGACAAAGGAGGAGAGCCGGCGACCCCCAGAGTTACGCATGGAGAGGTTGATGACCATCTCAAAGTGGTTCTCTGCCAGGTAGTCCAGGATGCTGCGCTGTGTCTCACGGGCACCTGCTTCAGTG